TTTTTATATCTTTTATAATATTATTTATATAAAAAATAATCAACTAATTCTATTAATATTTTAAAAAATGATAGTAATAAGTGTAATTTTTTTTAAAAGGGTAGTAATAAAGGGTACTTTTTAAAAAAAATATATTTTACCAAAAATAAAAGCACTTTCAACAACAAGGGATTTGTTGCTGAAAGTGCAAGGGTTACCAAAAAATGATAGTAACAAGAAGTATTTTTTAAAAAAAAAAATATTTTACTAAAAAAGAAAACAAGGGGCACTTTCACCAATATGCCCCATGTTGCTGAAAGTGCAAGATGACAGGAAAATGATAGTAACAAGGGGTTTTTTTTTCAAAAAAAATATTTTACCAAACAAAAAAAAAAACAAAGGGACACTTTTAGCAACATGCCCCTTGTTGCTGAAAGTGTAAAAGTGTAATGTCACCGGAAAATAGTAGTAACAAGGGGCATTTTTTTCACAAAAAAAAATATATTTTACCAAAAAATAAACAAGGGGCACTTTCAGCAACATGCCCCTTGTTGCTGAAAGTGCAAGGTGACAGGAAAATGATAGTAATAAGGGGTTTTTTTTCAAAAAAAATAGCTCACCCAAAAAAAAAAAAACAAGGGACACTTTCAGCAACATACCCCTTGTTGCTAAAAGTGTAAAAGTGTAAGGTGACCGAAAAATGGTAGTAACATGGGGCATTTTTTTCACAAAAAAAAAATATTTTACCAAAAAATAAAAAAACAAGGGGCACTTTGAGCAACATGCCCCTTGTTGCTGAAAATGCAAGGTGATCGGGAAAATGGAAGTAACAAGAGGCATTTTTTCACAAAAAAAATATATATATATTTTACCAAAAAAAAAGGGCACTTTCAACAAGTGAATATCAGCAATAAAGAACACGTTACTAACAAGTGGAGCTCAATTGAATGGAAAAGAATTCATCGGAAAATATCAACAAGATAGAATATATTGCTGAAAGTTACTTTCAACAACAAAAAGTATATTGCTGAAAGTGGGGCAGATTTTCAAGGGGTGGGATGTACATTTTTGTATTTTAGCACTTTCAGCAACATGGGGTTTGTTGCTGATACCTATTTTCAGCAACAAACAATCTCATGTTGCTTATTTATTGTTTGTAAAAAACAAAATTTCAGTAGTGGATACCACCGAATATTACACAAACAGCAGTTATAAAACGTTATGGTACAAATGAATAATACTCTTCCAGTGCTCTTTCCCAGGGTTATAATTGGATGTTGTCCATATCAATCTCAATCCATCCAAGTAGCCATGTGTAAGGCTACACCCTCCCCTTTGACCTGATAAACATGGAAAATGCAGCAACATAGGGTTTGATTTATGACCTAACTTTGGCAAGTCGTGCCCTTATTTCTT